CCTCCGTGAAAGTCCGTCGTGGTTGGTGCGCTACAGACCCTTTTGTTTGGAGACTTTCGGTATGGACAAGGCTGCCTGCGCAGACCACGGGTCTATTTGCCCGTCCAGACTTTTCGCTTGACGTGTGCTGCCGCGAAGACGCATGACAGAAGCCGACGTGGAAGGTTTTCTCAAGATGACGGGTCGCTCTGCGCCATTGCTGACAGGCAAAAGCCGCGTGCGACTATGCGCGCGATGCGATGGCAGGAAGGCCTGGGCAACAATCTGCACATGTGAGATATATCAAGGCGATACCTACAACCAGCAGGATAAGCGGACATAGATATCTGAGTATGCCTGAAGGCTGCTGGTGTGTGGCCAGCGCTCGAATGAAGGTGACAGGGGTCATTGTGAGTCTAGTCTCTCGGTCTCTCCCCCGCGGCTCTCCCATCGGACTTCCAGGTCCTCGTTGTCTCGAAGGCAGAGACAACGCCCGTGTCTGTCTTTTACCCCCTCCGTCATACCGGCCTACGGATCAACGACCGTCGGATCCAGCGACGGGATTCTACTGGCTAGAGGAGAACTGAACCACATGTAAATGCCATCAGGTTACCCCAGTTCGATGAGAAACCCCAAACCAAAAAGGCATCCGGCGCCGCCCTTGTGAGATCTCTCGATAGTGGAGTATTAGAGGTCGCTAGCTGATTTATGCATTCTCAATGTCCCCTTACCGGCTCAGCTTGCGAATGAATCTCCAAACGTAGTTTTGCCTGACTCTTTTGTTCCCAACCGGCAGGCGACGTTCGTGAATGGGTCTTACTTACCCCTCCATCTCAGGCAGGCACGGATCCTCCGAGTCCCGCGGTCCAGGTGCTGTTTTCGATTTTGGGTATTGATTTTATTATGGGTTTGCGTGGGAATAGGATGGTCGTAGAAAAACTCTGTCCAAAATGTGATAAATGACAGCTGACCAGATCCACGGCGTCCATCGGTACCCTCGCGCATCGCGGGAACACCGGTAACAGAGGCTGTAAATCGTGGGTATCCATTCGTAGGGGTTGACGAAGAGATGTGCAGAGATGTGCAGAGATGCTGCCGGCGCATAGGCAGCCGGCCGAATCTAGAACGGCCAAAATACCTGCCTACATCTCCACCACCCATCCCCAAACTGCCAAAAATACGAAACATCCCTTCCCAACGACGCAAGAGGCGTTCCTGACACTACCCTCCAGAGCAAACCTGACAGAGAAACCCCTGCGAATGAGGGGGGAGGAAATAGGTTGGTAGAGAGGAGATTTGCTCATGTCTCTTCCGGCCGAATGTGACCCCAGGCTTGTCTCAAAAAGACAGATTCAATGTGTGTGGTGGTGTGCGTGATGTGCGTGCCGCTTCACCAGGCCTGCCACGCCCTGGCAGGCCTTCCCGTCCGGGGAAGCGTTCCGGCCGAGGTGAAGGAGGTCCGGATGAGTGGGTGAGGAATGCGCGGATGCTTGGGCTGAGAGACCTACTGGGTAAAAAGGAAGAAGAAGAAATGTTTGGCCATACTACTCCGTCCAGCCAGTACCGTGCTTTTGCAGCCCTCTTTTGCCCATGTTCGTCTCATCTCACTTTACACGCCCCTCAGGAAGGGGCTCAGCTGGGGTCACTAGGTGAGATTCGTGTTCATGCTTATTATGTGGTCAACATTCCCAGCTTGGAGTATTTGACAGATGATTACTTTTTAAATATGAGATTTAATAGACTTAAAGTAAGGATTTGTCTTGTGACGCAGAGTTAAATAATATAATATTTGAGTCTCCGTTTCTCATTTTAGTCAACGAAATTCCTGTCGGTGAACCCGTGATATTCGATTGACGTTATAGTATCCCGACAATGACATATGTGGCATTCATGAGGCTTCTCGATCTGGGTCTATTGACATTTGACACTTTGCCATTGTTGATGCAATGAATTGCTGTACCTTACAGGAATGCGGGTAAACATACATGTTCAAGCTACCACCAGCCTACTGTAGATCATCAGCTCGGGAACCACTCGGTGTTCTCTTATTACCCCAACGATTTGCATCATCGATGAACGCCGTGGCCACTCCGAGATCCGTTCCCGAGAGCTGGTCCCTCGCCAATCTGTCAGTCTCTCAGAGTCTCCAGTCCCATGGCACAAGCGTCTACGTAACTGCGGCAGGCAAAGTGCAACCGAGCTTCGTCACGAGTCTTGAGGAGCCTCCATATCAATTAGCCACCTAGGATACGAATACATCCCTCGATATGAAAGACTCTTACCATATGCCCATTGATGAAGCAACGAGTGTGGCAGCCATCGAGATGCCTCAATAGACACGATTTCATTGGTCACAAGTTATGGCAGTAATTAGATGTATCCGGACGGGAAGCGACACTGATCTCCCCGTACTTACTAGTGCCACAAACCATCGTTGGTGTGCCTAAAACTTCAGCCCACCCCAGTCGTGTTTGCGATTGCCAACACATCGTGGTGAACTTCAGGTACCGACCGATTCTTTCCAGACGACTCAGCAGCCCGTACAACACAACAACAGTTGCAAATTACCGAGGCGTCTATCGACGACGACTAATCCCTAGGTGCAAACGCTGAAAGTTTGAGCAGTGCCGCCTCTGTGGCTCACTAATCTCCCCCTCGAGAGGTGACAACTGACAGAACAAGGGACTAACTCCAGCTGCATCAAATCACCGTCCATCGATGACACTTCAGCTGCTTCTCTACAACTTCCCAAACAAGCCCTTTCATGCCTCCCAAAGCCATGATATTCGGTCTCGAGTCACGAGATGTAAGTCCTCGAGAGTCAGATCTGGATCTAACGGCGGGAAAGACGAATTTCCCTGCAGCCCCTTGCCAGATATTGATTCGAACGTGAGCGATTGGTCGGGTGGCGCTAATCAGCAAGGGTTCATGATACTATAAAGTTTGGTGGCTTGCGGGGTGGCCAAGCCCGCCGACAATCACCATCACTGCCACATTTCCCTAGCTTCAACGATTCACCCTCATTGACAGGTGTCAACTACACTGGTAGACTTCCTCTCTATAGCTTGACGGCTCGCATTGCGTCTACATGCCTCTTCAGAAACGTGATAGGCCGAAACAAGACTCCGGGCTGCAGATCCTTACCCGTCGCGCCGAGTGCCGTGAGGAAAAAGAAGTCCAGTGCCACGTTCAGACTCTCGAACCCGCAGAGTCAGCTACAAAGTGCAAGACATTCAAAAAAGCAAGAAAAGGTTCGGCTGAACGAGGCTCAAAGTCTCTGGTCCTGAATTTTCTGGACATGCTGATCATCAGGCACGTTCGCCATCCAACCGTTCATTCCTATTCCAGACGCCACGACTCTGCCGCGAGAGGGGAAGACCGAGTTACACAAGACAGGACTCGGATTTCCCGCCTTGCCTGCTACACCTGCCTGCCTGCCTGCCTTCCTACCTGCCTGCCCTACTTTGAGAGGCCGAGTGAAGCCGTGGCGGGCGTTGCACATCTCAGCCCTCCCGTAGATGGCTTGTTTCTTTTGCCCTTTCGTCGGCTGAACATGAATCAAGCAGAGGGTGCGGAGGGTTGAGGCCCGCCGCCAGCCGGTCCAGCATCGGGCTTCTCGTCTCCTCCTCCCCATCTTCCCCTCCGTGCCGTCGCCCGCACATTAGAGACATTGGGCTTGGGTCTGGTGACATACATCTCACTTTGTTGCATCAGTGACATCTCGGGCTTCACAACGTTGCGGGGAGGTCTCAAGCCGCAAAGCCGCGAAACATGCCGTTGAGGTTGAAGTTCACGCAACCTTTACCGGCGATAGGCATCTGTACATTTCGATTTTCTTTTCTTTCTTTTTTATTATTATTGTTCTTATTCAAACGGTTGTCCGAAGTAAAACGGACTAACAATTGTAAAAGCCAATAGTCCGGCCCAGGATATAGAAATTCCGACGACAAGATCAAACAGAAAACAGAGCAAATCTGTAACTTACACCGCTCCCCGCCATGGCGGACGCCGGCGCGGCCGTCACTGCGACCCGCGCGTCATATTCTCAAATATCCGCCCGCTTGCCTGCCGCCGGACTTTGACGCGCCCACCCTCTCCGTCCGTCCCCTTACCTCCTCCCCGGTTCCCGCTGCTGCAGGAAAACGAACCTGCGCGGCCATTGCCGGCTTCGATCTTCCGCCACTACTGTAGAAGGTACGGATAACATCTGTAACTCGTTTCCCCTACCCTACATGTACCGTGCAGGTAAGCAAGCCTTGCATGAAATATCGTATCGTATCGGATCGCGTCAAACTTATTGCATTGGATCTCAATAGATCGTACTATAGAAATAGACATGCGTGCGCCCTCACCGCTCTCCCCCACCCCAGACTTGCGGGAAGGAATGTCATCGTGCTTCAGCCTTCACCGTTTCCCGTCCCGTTTGATTCCAGGGGTGAGAAGAGCTTGATGCCGATTTCAGCTGTTCAGGTTGCCCTATTCAGGGCATCGCACATTACGTCCGTAGATCTTACCCGCTGAGCCTTCCATATCCATGATAAGCCATGCTGCTACCACTGCACCAAGCCGTGCTCTATTGCCATTGAAGAATCATCACCGATTCGCCCATAACATCTCTCGATCAATGGTATTCCCAGATACAACCGACTATTGTTTGTCGATCGTCTGAATGACAATCAACCCCAACGATATCCAACCAGGTCAATGAAGGCTACTACCGCGGATCAGAATCCCCGGTTCCCCCATGTCTTGGCTTTCCTCCAGCGTGGCAGTTGTCTGATAAAAAGCAAACAAACATGGCTAGAAGTCTGGAACTGGGGTTTGAGCGTACTTTCTGGCCGGACATCTGGTGAAGAGCAACGTCACCCACGCCAATGCAGCATTCCCCAAACACACCTGCCGCAGCTTGTCTGTTGATCAAGAGTGTCGGACGGCTACTGGGGACTATCCACAAACACGCAGGCCTGGAGATAACCACACGATGCCATTCTTGAATCCAAGACCAATACATCCCACACCACTCACACAGAAACCTCTTCCCCCCCCCTTTTGATCTCAACCGCCAACGTCGCAACCCCAGAAGAACGGTTGACTTGAAATAAGAAACGACGCACTCCTACACGACAAGTTGTAATCATCCCCGGTATGCCGTCACGTGCATAACGTCCGTACCGCGGACGCGGACCCAGCTGCATCTCATCGACTTTTACCCTGCTTTGCATGCGCTGCTCCAAAGAAAAGCCGTTCGCCCGTTTGGAGTTATTCCCCTCCAAAACCATTGTAATCCTATCGCCCAAGAATGGTCCCAGCCCCACCATCCAAACTCTTCTCTCTCTCATAAAAACCACATCCTCCAATGACATCCCAGACAAACCGCGAAGACAAATCCCAAAAAGGGACAGAAATAAAATAGAAAAGCCAATGCCCATTACCCCCTTGTCATCCGGGGAAGCTCGCCAGTCTCTCCGCGGGTGGAGACAAAAACTCAGGCCTGTCCCGCGCGACTCGCCGTCACAAATGACGAGATGGGTAGGTCAGCTGAGCATTCCCGAAACAAAATCTGACAGCGGGGGGGGGGTGAAAAGGGCGGAACCGTGAACGCGCCTACGCAATCGCCAACTCTATCCCGTACTGCTCTATCAATCTGCGCACTTGGAGTGTACTAGTCATTAAGCTTCTCCCGTCGGGTAGCTGTCATTATTGACGACAAAAAAGTATCAGTAAAGATCGTCACTTTTCTATCAAAATGCAAGGTCATACGCCGTTGTCGTTACCGTTACTGTTGCCGCATGCCGCTGCCGCCGCCGCTTCCAGGCGCCGCCATTCCCTTTCCTATTCTCCCTGCGCGCCAAACGCCGAACGGAGGCCTTCGATCTATCCGTACGTCGGCCTCCTGCTGAAAGATCGTCGGGTAAAGTGCCAAAGCAACCCCGGATCGTCGGGAAACGGGGCCACCCCGTTGAACGACGTGAATGCATCTGTACGCAGTAAGGTATCCATAGTGGCTCTTCAGCTTTGCATGCATTCTCTGAAACTGGTTTCCAGATTTATCATGATTTGATGGCCTCCCCCTTTGATAACCTAAAATGTTAGCAAGAAAGAAAAGAAAAAAGACATTGCCTTGTGAGTTGTGATAGAAACAAGTCATGCCCTTTTTTCTCCCGCGCCAAACGCCGATTCCAATGCGATGAGAACAACCAAGCCGACGGGTCGTCGTTATCCGTCCGTTAGGCGTGGATCGGTACATGTATTATCAAGTAGACTTGACTAGCACAATAGCGCAAAAGAGAGGGGGAAAAAAACACCAAGCGACGAGAGAAAAAGCAACGTCTGCTACCATTTTGCAATCAACCACAGCTCGCAATAACGCAGCAAATCACGTTCCCCACGTGTTTTCCCTTCCCGTTCTCACTGGACCAAATGGTTCTATCCCACTCCTCGATACCTCTGATACGCGAAACAACACGGCGCTCAGGCATAGCAAAGTCGGTACTTGGTCAACCGCCCGTCTTCCCCTTACTGAGGGCAAAGGTAAAGGTTGATCGACATAACTCACGGCCATGGCGATATCAACTTTCCCCCGTGTCGCAGCGATCGATGGCAGCGGTGCCAGGTCGTAAACAATTCCTCGGTGTCGAGAGGAGTCTAGCGAAACCCGCACAACCCCCCCGTAGCTGGGACTGTTGCATGAAACGCGGGATATGTTGAACTTGCTATCCCACGTCTTGAGGGCTCAGGCATTTCGACACATGTTGAATTTTTTTTTTATAAACGGCAATTATCAGAGGATTTGAGTACCTGAACCACCCCCACACGCAAAACTACTCAGAGCTTGGAAAATACCCCATCATTTCATGATACTTCAGACTTTCGCATCTCCGGCTTACACCACCCCATCAGTCCTCATGAAGCCAGAATCCTTCTCGAAGAAAGCAAAGAAGCCCCCCAATCCCCATAGCCCACGATAAGAAGCCACACCTCCTTCCTCGTCGTCACGTAGCATCCTCCTACACCGCACCCGTACCCCCGTACACCGCCCAGATTCCCTCTCCGGCCGGTGCCTTTTGCGTGTCCGCGCCTGTTTGCAAATCTCCTACATACAACGAGGCCTTTGAGCCAGCCCCGTGTGGTTACATCCAAACCAACCCACCCAACAACACGCCAGGGTCCCAAAAGAAGTTGGTGTGCAGCCCGTGTATGGTATGCTACAGCCTACCACGACGGTACCAATGCCATCCCGCCAGTGCCATATGGCTTCAAGGTACTCCGTACTCCCTACCGAGCTGTTGCGCGTGGGGGTTGCACGCTGTCCCGGAGCCGGAGGCAGTTTGCACTCTTGCGGGTTACCTACTCTTCTCTGAACTTGGTGCAGTGGTAGGGAGGCGGGAACTCGGTCCAACCGCGCGTGGGGGGGCTCACCGTCCCCCATCCCCTTTCGGACGGAAGAGTCGCCGGCCCGCGAGCCGCCGCTGGGCTTTTCCCCATCGTGCATTCCGTCTCTGCGCATCTGACCGCCGCCTTCAGCCACGTTGTATAGGTAGCCTATGGGAATACGTAGTTGTACTGCAAATTGTCCATCAAGCCAAGTGAACGACTGAACGCGACAGACAGGAATGAGATGGCAAGTCTCAGCAGAAGCGGACACTGCGTTTCGGTGTACGGATAAACGAGTTCCAAAGCAAAACAAATACGCAAACGTGCCGTCGATTCGAGTGAATCGATAGAGATCGTGATGCTTCAAACGCCCTCCAAATCGCGATGGTCGACTCGCGCTACCTTGCACCAAGCCTCTTCCAAAATCCGGGAACTACTCTACATCCCGCGCATCGAAAAGCCCGGTGATTACAACCAGGCCTACTCCGTACCTACCGCGATTCGAGTCAGCTTCGTCTTGGCTAAACTACTATTTGCCTTCCCTCGCGCCAATGACAGGAGTCGCGATTTCCACATATTTGCTTTTTCGGACATCACCAGCTGACCCGGCCGCGGGCGGCCTAGGAAATTCCGCAATTCCTTTCCTGAGCTTGAGTTGCTTCACAGACACATACACACACAAACCTTCACAGAAGAAGTTCGGGGCCCAGCGCGCCGGAAGCGGCCCCGTCCGCCGCCGACTGAGAAGGGCGCGCCCCCACATTGCTTTCCCGTTGTGGAAGCCCGATGGACAAACCCATCCCTGCATGCTGTCCGGGATGGCAGAGGCACACACACCATTTCTCTCCCTTTTCTCTGCCACTTTTTGTCCGGTTTCCCTCTCGCCCTTACGTACTGGTATCTGTGTGCTTAGATGCTGGCGATGATGTTATCAGTCACCTTGTAACTGACCACCACCACCTCTCCCCAGAGCTGAAGGCGCCGTAGGGATAGCTAGGCACAAACTCTATGCTCTAGATATTCCCGAGGCCAAGGTTCCCAATCTCTCGGCCGATGCGACGTATCATTTTCGCAGTAGTCGACAAGGCGTGCAAACAGCGACCTAGAGAGTATCCGTAGTAGCAAAAACAAAATCAGATATGTGAGGTCAAAAGTCAAGTGTGAACCGGGGACCCGGCCCATTTCGTCTCATCATGGGTGTCGTCGTCCAGTCTCCTGGGAACCTTTTGAGAGAAGAGAAGAAAGAGGGAGTCGGATGGCCATGTCGTAATTGTCGTCGTTGGAGATGCCTTGTCGGGACCCGTTTGCTCAAAGAACCACACCCTTCCCCTTCCCCTTCCTCTCTCCAATCTCCAACTCCCACACCTTTTCACCTTCACAAGCATTCTCCTCACCTTGGCGGAACCTGGGTGGCCTGGTGTGCTTGCAGTTGTGTGCGGCGAAGCGAAGAAGTACCGCAAGCCAGGCCGAGGTGCACGATTTTTCCCGTTGCGCCCAACCAACCACAATAGCAGTGGACCATGAGTGGTGGAGCGTCTACACCGTCCCCGGTTCTTGGGATTTTTGTATGATTTATCGCCTTCCCAATCCCTCTACCGGTGACCAGGTGTAGCAAAGTCAATTTGATTGGGATGCATCAGTTGGCCTTCCAGAACCGGGTCGCTTCCCCCCCTTCCCACCCCCGGCCGAGGTCAACTTCAGGTGAATGCTCCGTCCTTTCGTGAATGATGGCATGGGTTCATGGCCCATGGGATATCGGTTTTCACCCATCCCCCGTTGGCCTGCTTGTCGCAACAACTCGCAATACCATGGGTATAGTCGTAGCCGAGGAAGGAAAAGGGAGGAGAACCAACAGTCCTGTCAGTTAACGACACTCCTGACAATCCCACGATTCCAATAATCCGGGTTGTTGGATCCAAGCCGTCTCATCTTTTCTGGCCATGTCTACTTCGTACACTATGCGTACGAATATGCCACCCCGGCTCGAGGGCGCAACTTGCACCGAACAATTGTTTGTCGCGCCATCGGTCTTTCGATGGAATGCTCACCGGGTACGCAGTTCGAGTATGGCTTGCGCCGTGCCCTTCATCTTAGAACCCATGCACACCGGCATCCGGGAGTTTGGGAAGGAATCAAGAGTGATTGATTCCTCGGAAAGCCTCTCCCCTAGCTCCAACTGCGCCGTTGGCTTCGGCGTCGCGTGTTCTCATATGCGCAAGCGATATCTTTGCAAGGCTAGGACAATACCTTTTTTCCCTCCTGCCTCGTATGATCGTCACCATGTTCGCGTCTTCTCACAATCATGTTACTCGCGGGTTCCGTTTTGTCTCTCGGTCCGTTGTCGGGGGTGAGTTGGAGCAGGATCGTAGGGCCTGTCCATTTCCCATTAGCTCCGCACGACGTATGATTACCACGGCCTCGGGACTGCTAGATGGTCGCGGAAGCGATATCGTGGTCCCCCGGAGACCGTTTTCTGCGAAGCGAACACCAAGGTGACGGCGCTCACGACAAGTGCCCCCTGGCAGATAATATTGTGCTCTGCCATTGTCAATTCGGGCTTGACAAGGGCGGAGCTCCCCATCGACGATGGCGCCGAAAGCCCGTAACAAAATGCCGTGCACATCGGGCTTCAACTTTCAAGGATACAGCGAGATAGGCAAGCCAGAATCCTCCAGTCACCATGGGTCAAGGGTGAACAGATGACCACGGAGAGTAGGGGTACTGGCCGCTCCGCCAACCGTGACGGACGGACGGGTGCTCCCACAGAACTAGCATCCCGCGCTGACAGTCGCCGTGATGCCAGGCGTGGCGCGGCTTCAGGGTGAGGGAAAAGAGGAAAAGAGTGGCAGTGGCTTCAGCCCCCTAAGCTGCGGTGTTTGCTTCATGGTACCTAACGAGACGTGGGGTGCCGGCGTTGGCTTGACTTTGGGCTTCCAGAGGCAACCCGTCACTTGACCAAACTGTTGTCAAGCAAGGTCCCAATCGAACGACAAACGTTGCTTTTTGCGCAGAGTTGAAAATGTGAGTTGTCAAACAAGCGGCGGTCATTGCGCGATGAGTAAACCACATGGACCATGAGCAAAGCCTGAAAGCCTGAAACTCTGAATTGTAGGGCTTTGGTGATGTCCAGTGGCAGAAAAAACGAACTGCAAGGTGAGTGACGAGTGACCACCAACGCGGTGAAATGAACACCAGGCTCTAGGAACTGCTCCAGCAACTGCATTGGGGAAAAGGTGACGTTTCAAGGGTCCAATTGCAGCCTCTCCAAAGTTCCCCCCAGGTGCTGTGACGAGGCACTTTTTGGGGCCTGGTGACCAGTTGACCCATGCCGGGGCTTGAGAGTTTGGGAACGAATGTCTCGCCTGGTTCAGGAACCAGAAAGCCTCGAAGGTTTAACGAAGGTCTGGCATGCTGCTTCTGTCGGTCCCTCAGGATCGATCAGTCTCAACCATGCCTTCTGACACCGACTGCATACGTCTTGGCCTTCTTCTTTCTGACCTCTGAGTTGGCATGAGTGTCTCTCATGAGCAGGAAGAACAACTCATTCCGGGGCGTGGGAGAGCCCACAAAGCGCCCATCTGCGTCTTGCTGCCCCCGACCCCCTGTCCAGCCCGTTGATGAACACTGGATCCCATGACATTCTGGCAACCAACCGCGGGGTAGGTAATGAGGCGATGAGCAAGCAGGGCGGTTGAGTTCATCATCGATACCAGGTTCCAAGTTGCTGCTTGGCTGATGTGCATGTCTGTAGATAGGATGCCTCCTTGCGATCAACATTGAGAATGACTGTTGTTATTGCGTCCCTTGTCATTACTGACGCCTCACGAGGGCTGAGCTTCGTGGGCGGGCAGCGGGCAGGCGGCAGACAGGCGACAAGCGGCAGGATTTGTTGATGACCTAAGTGATGGGCATTATCACGGGGTCGATTTGGGGCGAGCGCAGACGCGCTGCCGCAACCAGTCAAGCAGCAAATTCGCAAGCCAGCGAGGGGGTCAGAGCATGTCACATCGCCGTGTCAGCGCTCAAGGACGGGCCGCCGCCGATTCGTCCGCAACCAAATTTGGCGACGACGAATTGACCTTGTCGCCGTCGCGAGTCCGGGCCCAAGCAAGCTGCTTTGGTGCCAGCTCACTATGAGCAGTCGACACTATCGAGGGCTATGCAGCCGCCATGAGAGATAGTCTCGTGGACACGGACAGGCACTGCGAGTCGCCGAAAGATGTTCTCCCTTCAATCTTGCACCTAAACCTATCCTTCCGCGTAGCAGGCCGGATTTCGTCCCGAGGGACCTCGCGGCTGTGGTATCCGTAGGTTTGGAGATGCTCGAAGCGGAAGAGGGGCTGCGACAAGTCTGTCCCCGTGGTGACAATGCCATGGCAATTCAATTAACGGGCACTGTATTTGCAGCGGCACCTGCGACTCGTGATCCAGACTTCAGGGACGGGAACGAATGCTGGGGAAATTGGAACGTTCGGAATCAGGGCATCTGTTTGACCCCAGTATTCGTAGAGTGAACGTCAAGACTCAAAGGGGGGTTTCTGGGGAAGCGATTGGCGGTCGTCCCGACGGAAGGGTTGAGCAACCTAAAGCCTCGAAGCAGAGATTGAGAAAGCATCGGTTTGGGCTGGTCCGAAGTCACGGGCACAGCAGAGAGAACCAGGCGAACCAGTCGAGTCGAGCGTTTCTTCTGGTGGTCTCGTTGTGCGTTGTCACCTCCGTTGTGCCGTTCTCAGCTCAAGGAGTCAGTCAGTCAGGGACCCTTTCCCTCTGGCAGGACAAGTCTTTTCCCCCTCCAGTGGCTCCCTAGGTTCGGAGAAGAGCAGCGAGGCCGCAGGGCAGGTGAGCAGCTGGACAGGGACCGACAGGGACAGGGCGTTGATGGACGTTGCCTTCACGGTTCGAGCTGGACGGCGATCCGTTTCGGCGGGAAGAGGCACGGCGGCTCGTGACCAGTGACCAGACGGAAATCGCTGTAAATGGCAGCGAGCTGTCGAGGCTGCATTCGTTCTAGGCCGTCGCGGTCTGTGAGGGTGCCAGAAGGGGAACAGTGCCGGCAGGACGGTAGATCGAGGAGATACGCCAGGCCTCTTTGGGTAGCATATTTCTGGCTTATCTTCTTTGGGTAGTGTACGGGTGTTTCGGTCAGGTACCGAATGACGGTTGACGGAAAAAGCGCGACGGAGAACCGGACGGGGGTAGAGGTGTGGACTCTGCGGAGGAGCCTTTGCCTGTGGAGGAGTCTTTGGAGGTCGAGACGAGGCCGATGGAGACTTTTGGATGGAAAACGTGGAGATGAGGCGCGGCGCATATTCGGCCAGACGACTTAGCCACTGAGAATTGGTGACAGAAACCCCGTATTCCGCACAGGGAGAGTCTCCGTTTTTCTCTTGAACGTACGTACGAAGATTCTGTGCCCCCCAAAGATCCAGAACCATGACGGAGACGCGATATGGAGACTGAATTGGCATGTTCCATACGGAGTAGCTTGGTCTGGATTGGCCGAGGTGCTGACGGTGACAAAACAACCGACGGACGGACGGGACGCAATGCGGCAATCTAATGGGCCTGGATGGTGATGCCGCGACGAAGACGGCCAGAAGACTCCCGTCACATGACCCAAACGGTCCCGTGGGCGAGGCGTCCGTGGAGCTGAACGTGGAGCCCAACGGACTGAGCTGGGCCAGGCCCCAGGTCTCAATTGAAAGTTTTCGTTCCTGAAGTTGGAAGACGTGGAGGGATGGAACGGAGAGGGGGGAGAGCGGACAGCTGACCGTCGACGTTCGCCGCCTCAACGGACTGGAGTACTGCCTAAAACGGCTAAGTGTCGAGGAACTTGAGCTATACCGAAAGAAGTAGTATCTTGGGTCACCCGCGCTCCCAAAATTGCGCGTTGGGTTGCCGTATGGGGTTCAGCGCAATTGCCCTATGATGCCCCTTTAGGCTTGGTTCAAGATCAGAATAAGGGAGCTTGTCTCTCTGGGGGTCTCTCGGGGAACATCAGAGCAAAAGTCAAGAGTCAAGACAGCTCACGTTCCTGGACCCCCTCTCGAACTCCGGGGGGAAGCCACCACGACTTGCCCCGTCCAGGCAGTGTACCGAACTTCCCCGAACGACAAGTTTCTGGACCTCGTCAACCCCCTTCCCTTGGGCCCTTGGAGTGCCCTTTGTACGTATCCCTGTGTCGTTGACCGTCCCAAAAGGTCTCTTGCGCACCCGTGACTGCCTTGCCGTCTTGCGCTTGATGGCTGCGCTGCTGGGTGCTGGTACTACTGTTCCGCGCTCTCTCTCCGTTCTGGTTCTGTGGTCTCGTGGAGTCTTGCGTCTGTACATTCGGCTACGTACCGAGATACCGCCGCAAAGAGTCGTTCAGAACCCCTGACACCCTGACATTGCTTGGGATGGAACACACTGACATGACTGACTTAGGTTGACTGAGTTGAGTCTTTCTTTCTGCTCTAGACCTGATTCTGAATCACCCGGCACGAAGAGGCCCAGCGTCGTCACAAGCCGAAAGAACCAGCAAAGAAGAACTGACTTGTCCGTCTCTCGCCAGGACAGATGGACAGATACAACTGGAGGCAAAGACAGTCGAAAGCTTGAGCAACCGCAGAATGCTGTCCGTATATCCGCACGAATACACCTACCTGGTAACTGAGAAGAAGTGGTACTTCCTGTGATGCTCGTCTTGGGGAGGGTCATTCCCCTCTGGAAAAGAGAAAAGCCACCGACTGGCGGTACTTTGTGCCCCGTACCTGAATACATAAGTTACCTCCACTTTTGCTTCAACACTTCCGTCGTCACAACCCAAGGCCTCAGGTCCCAAGGTCTCTCCTCTCTCTCATTTTTTTCGCAGTACGTACCTTACCTCTCCATACCCAATTCTCACTCACACCCCCACACCTCAGCACCCACACCCTCTTCTTTCCCTTCCTCTCCTTCGTGCCTTCTTCTTTTTTTTCCCTCTTTACCAGGTAGTGGTGCTCCATGCCGGGGGCCCCTGCTCGCTCCTCCCTCCCCTCTTGTCTTCTTGTCCCATGCTGAGGGAGGTGCGAGGATATACGTACTTTGCTCACCGCGACTCACCCCCATGCCAGCATCAACATTCCCCACGCCCCCCCCCCCCTCCAAAATCCTAAGGTACTCTCACCCCTTCCACCCACTCCCCCCCCCAATCCCCATCTCTTCCCATTGCCCATCGCACATTACATCTACCTATACTTACTTACATGCATCCCACTCCGCTGCCATCTAATCCACATCTTTCAACTCTCTCTGGCCAAACCCGAGGTGACGATAATTATTAACGTCCGTCTTCCCCCAGACTTTCCACCCTTCCCTTCTCCTCTTACTTCATTGCTCCACCAGAAGCACATCTCGACCATCGACTCGACACCTCTCCGCATATCCAGAGCCAGCATTCTCCGGATTCCCCTCCCGTAAACGCCATCATATTAAAGCATTCCTGTCTTCGCCCTTTCGCACCTCGACGTCTGCATCAGCACTTCCAGCGACATCATTTCCCCGACGTACATAGCGCCCATCACTTCATCGTCGACATCATCGACCGCCACCCGCAAAACCACGACCCGCGACTCCAAATCTGATCTCGACAACATCCATATCGCTTCGCTCCAGGTGCCGAATCTGCCCTACTGTACTGAATCCCAATACACCCTCAACGCTGGGTGTCTCTTCAATCTCAACCACCACCATATCCGCGGAACCGACTACCTCCAGCTGCTCAATTCGAGCAGCCCATCTCGGCGCAATGCCTTACCCTCTCGATACGCACGTCCTGACAGTGGACACCAATGTCATCAACAAGGTCGATACCTCAAATCCTCAGAACCTCTACAGCATGTGGACTGGTAAGCATCTCGCACCTGGCTGCTCCGTTCAAGGAGCTCGCGCACTACGCGCCTACTAACACACCTCCAGTCTTTGCCAAGTGCGCAGAGTCTGTTGAACAGGGCCGCAGGTTAGAAAACCTCAGCTGGCGATTGTGGAACCGTGAAACGTTCTGCTGCACCGAGGAGGAACAAGCCTCCATCACCGCCACCAGCCTGCCCAGAGAGATTCCCCAAGCCAGCAGAATACAAGATATTCCTCAACTGTCCGGCAGTGTCGAGTCAGAAAACGACGACGAGGCAGTCGACTTCACTTCATTGTCCGCACCCCTCGAGATCCGCCCCAGAATCCAAAGACAGGACTCTTGCGCGAGCAACCGCAGCCGTGGCAAGGAACGCCACATCACTTCCGGCGACTTCGAGAAGATGGTCGTCTCCATTATCAAGGAGAACGAGCCCTTGTCTGCACCTCTTCCGCAAATGGCCTCCCCTTACATGCCTCCTATGAAGGAGACTCCCGACCTGGCCCCTGCCTCCCCCGTCTACGAGCACTCTGGATCTACCACAACCGAGTCGCCTTGCAAGTCATCGGAAGAAGAGCACTCCCAAGAGCCGACCTCACCCGAAATCACCTCTCGCACCACCGTCGTCCGCGGCTTCTCTCCATCACAGATCCCCAGAGCCATCCCTGCCTCTCCCAAGGTTATTTCTCCCGCCGCCATTCCCGAGCCGAGGTCATCACCTGCAGCCAAGCCCATCCTGTCCAAGAAGCAGCCCATGTTCTCCATTGGCGAGTCTTGCTCCTCGAGTGAACAAGGCCACAGCATCGAGAACCTCAGACCCATTCCCGCTCCTGTCCAGAAGCGCAAGATGTTCCAGGTCGGCGGCTCCTCCGAGGAGGACAGCTCTCTCAAGAGTGCTCTTGCCTCCCAACCCGGCTCCCTGCTCACCGGTCAGAAGAAGACGACTTCCTTTGCCGACCATGTCTCCACCCGCATGATCAACGACGATAACTCTGCTATTGCCGACGACTCAGAGACCGACTACGTTGACGAGAGCGCCATTGATGATGACGACGACTCTTCCGACTGGGAAGACTCCATTGAGGACAGCAACAAGTCTAGCATTGATGAGAAGACCTTCTTCCAGCGCGTCGACTCCAAGGTCAACTTGACGTCGCGCCGTTCATTGATCACGCTCATGATGACTGAGCAGAACGACCGCTCCAGCAAGCTTGGCAACATTGCTTCCCAGTCTACTTCGGCACTCCCTTGGTCGCGCACTAGCCACCCGGCTCCTCCTACCTTGGCCGTCTCCCCGAACGACTCTGATGACGCCCCTCTCATGATGAAGCGCGGCAATCGCTCTTCTCCTCTGAAGCCCATCAACGAGGTGCCTCGCTCGGCTGCCCAGCCTATCCATGCCACAGCCAGCCACAGCCACCTCCAAGCTGCTCTTTCTCCCCGCACTACCCGGCGCAACATGCTTGCGACTGAGTTGACCGAGTCTCTTCGCCGCAACCTTCTCTGGGAACGCCAGCAAAAGTCGTCTACTGCCAACGCTGTCCTCAAGAGACGCCACACCTCTCACGACGTCGCCAACCTGAAGCAGTACCCCGAGAAGGTGTGCCTCAAGAACGGAGACGCCCCGGTCAACCCCCAGTATTTCTCCAAGGATACTGACAACTTTGGAGGCTACCACTCCAAGGGATGGTAAATCACTATTACATTACCGCGCCACACACAACACAACACAAAACACACACACTTATCACGATATTTGACGAGCGTGTGGCCTTCGAGCCCGCTCGAGCACAGCTATTTCTGGTTGCTTTTACACTGCATTGCGCGCGGCGGCATCGCATCGGCTCTGCCATTCATCATAGTACCATAATCATGGGCGCGCATAGTTGGGACTATTCAGTCCCATGATACGACACGGGTGCATTCATTGGGCCTCGAGGTGGGCCTTTTGGACCTGATTCTAATTTTCACACATTTGCACGGCGTCTCTTCATCACACGATACCATGGTCTGTTTTGTCTTCGCAACATACCACCTTCATGTTTTATCAATGGGTCTGGGTCTCTGCATTTACATGGTTGTTTGAAAGTTTTGTAGTGAAGGAGAGGTGGATTGTACTCTATGGACAGGACCAACAGGAGGGGAAAACACATCTACAGAAGGCATTGCCCGAAGGCGACTTCAACAGCAGGACCTGACACTGACTGGGGCATGCTGATGACAAGACATGGGAGGGAGAAGAAAAACCGGGTGGTGGAAGACCAAAAGTGGAGAACTCCCACGAGAACGGCCGAAAGGGCCAGAAGAGGTTGAAAAAAGCTGGTTTGAAAAACAAAAAGCGCACGAGAAGGTCGGCGCAGATGGACCACAAAAGCAAGATCATTGCGACGAAGCCAAAAAAATCCCAAAATCGTCAAAAGAGTTTAGCAAAAACATGAATAAAAGTTGGCCATTCAATCAAACACTCGCCTCATCATCACTGTGACACTGTAATTCATTCATTCGTTTATTCTTTTCAATTCAATGTGCCCTGTGACACTCACCACAGGCGTTGCCTCGCATTGAATGGACTTGCGCGACCGGGCAGATGACTACTTGCTGCTACTGCTGACTGATGGCAGAAGCGCAGACGAAAAGCCCATGCGCTCACCGCTGGCCGATACGCTAGAGCCGCGCTCCATCACGAGCCACCCGGGGACCGGAAGCAGAGCCCGTTTATCGGTGTTGTGCATTATCGAGTCTATCTACGGAGTACGGAGTACTAAGGCGATGGGCAGACAGACAGACGAGACATGGCTACCGCATGGGCTCGGCCATTGCTGACATGGGGGGATTCCAAGGCGCCGGCGGGTTACGCTAGGGCTGCGCCAGGGGAGGGAGGGACATTGGAAGGGGAGTGGGAGTGAGAGAGGAAGAGGAAGAGGAAGAGTCGCATTGAGAATGGGCTGGATTTTGCAATCCTAGAGTATTGTTGCTTTGGCATTTTGCGATTGCGGAGAGAGAGGGATAGGTTTCGTGGACATGTGAAAGTGGTTGATACCAGTCCAGAGTACGGACGAGTTACGTGATTTACATTGTATGTTTCTCGGGGAGGGAGGGCAAGGGGAAGGGGAGGGGATGACTGCCACATGCGTTCAATCACCTTTTTTTTGCGCATTTTGGGTAAAATTTTGATTCACTCTTGATGTCTTTCACACTGAGGAGAATATTTGGCCTGTGATTGTTCATTGATGTTGTCCCCCCCCCCCCCCCCCCCCCCCCCCCCGGGGGCGGGCCAGGCGTGGTCCTCGGCGCGTGTGTGGTTGGGTGGGGGGGGGGGGGGGGCGGCTGGGCGCGTCTTGTTCTGTGTCGTTTTTTTTTCTTTTTTTTTTTTTTTGTTTTGCCCCCCCCCCCCCCCGTCCAGGTTTGGTGAGGAAGCACAGGTCTTTTGCCGAGCTGGAGTGTTTGCCGAGGGATGGACGGATCTGCTTTTCCCTGAGAGAGTTTTGTTCATCTGTTGTTTGTTTGGATCTTGTTTTCGATCATGTGTGTGGTTTTGTTGTTGCCGTGGTTAGATTTTGATAGGGGGGAGAGCGGGGGAATAAGTGTATGGATGGGGAGGAGGAGGGGGGTGGTCGATAAAGTTTGAGGCTGTCAGGTGAGGAGTCGATCTTGGCTTGTGGTTTGTAGGAAGCCCAAAATGTTTTCCCAGAGGTACGGACACACACACACACACACACACACACACACACCTATCGGCAGTCCAGTACGGAATACAGAATTCTTGGAGGAAATAAGTATTTGGGGACAAATGTAGACGCGTAAACGCCTGGTTCTAAACTTACCTAAGGTACTCTGTGCGGGTGCCCGGATCGCAAAAGACTTTTGTCGAGTGGCATTGGCTTTGTGGGATACCGACGACCTTTGGATACCTTCGTTATCGGATGGATGTTTTTTTTTCTTTTTGGTATCTTTCCGATCCGGATTGACAGTCTGATCTCTTCTCTGGTGGTGTGAGGGTCCATACGGGGAAATAGGCTGCGATACTTTTTGGCTTTACCCTCTGGCTGTTTCTTCATAAGAAGTACCTGATTCAGTTCTACGTCCTTCTTACCGGGTAGGTAGGTATTGATGCCCGTTCCTCGACTCCCCGAGGATTGGAGGGAAAAGAGATTTGTGAATTTGGCGCGTGGCTTGGCTCACCCGGCATTCCGCGGAATTCGAGGAGGGGCGCGACGCCGCCGCCGCACAAGGGGTAAGTAAGACTCAGGAAGAGGAGGGGAGATTTGCGCTAGATCTGCTGACAGGGCTTTATTCATCGTTCTTTTCTCGTCAGTTCGGAGGCTCGTAGGGAGGCTTCGTGGCTTGAGTCTGTGGTGCGGTGGTGCCCGGACGCCGCTGTGCGTTTCCATGTGTGTGTGTGTGTGTGTGTGTGTGTGTGTATGTCTTCGTTCGTCTATTTCTCTTGACTTGGGTATGCGCGCCTCCGGCACATTGCCGGGTTTTTTTCCCCTCCCCCCTATACTGCGGATAAGCCTTGCGGCTTACATTGTGTCGCGGCTCCGTGTCTGCCCTGTTCTATGTCTTTGGCTAAGGTATCGTGGCGTTCTTGTCCTTTGCGAGAGTGAGGGGGGAGCGGCCGGCCGCAGAGAGGCGTTTAATTCGGTTTTCCTTTTCGTTGATTTCTCTGATACATCTGGTTTTGAGATTGCGGGGGGGAAGCAAAGGATAACAAAGGCTTGCGATTGTATTGATCCTTTTGGCTTGTGTCACGAGAAAACGGGGCTTCGATTGTTGATGGAAATGAGGCAGATGAGGAAGTACTCTCTGTAAAAGTGTAGAGACATTGAACGGCAGAAAAGCAGACGCTGAAAGGTCATTGCTGTGGATGCTGAACCAAGTATGAGCCCAGACCACTGCATATCTCATCGTCCCAGCGGGAAAAAACAAGGGTCAGTCAGAGTTGCTGCGTCCTTGATGTCACGCATCCGGGGGCGGCGACGGGTGTATCTTGCGCTGACATGTGCAAAAGCCTGTGCTGAAGCTATCTAGAGAACAGGCGGGTTTGCCAGTGGTCGATCTACCTTCATCCTACTTCCCGTGCACCAATCGAGAAGCCGACGATACTTAGGTAACTTGCTGGCTGCTGATACGATGGTGAATTATCGATATCGCGCACGCCGAACTCTCTCGATACGAGTTTCCCATCCTTCAATTGAGTCGAATTCGATAGCGTGGAAGAAACGCCAATTAGAAAACTGGAAGCGTCTTTTTTCTTTCCCCCGATGCTACTCTGCCGGCTGGCGCATCATTATGCGCATGGGCGTGCTTTTTCTTTTGGGCGGTCTTGACACTACTGCAGTTGCGTGGTAGTGTTTTCGCGGTCAACTTCGCTGGAATTATTGTCGGTAGGTAAAGTGCACCAGCTCTAGAGATTGAAAATTGTCCCAAAGTGGCCGAAGAGGTCTCGAACGCGTTCTGTTCAAAGATGCCACGCGAGCATGATGCGGTTGGTAGTGTGGAATCGTTAGGTTAATCGTGTTTGATCCGCAACCACTTCCCCCGCCACGTCTACACGGTTCTATATATTCGGGCAGTTTCATGTGGGCAGATGTATACTACTAGCTGGAACCCCAGGTAATTGCAATCTGCTCATAGTTCATGACGGGGCTAGGTTTCCCCGATTCTTTTCTTGAATGGGCGTGGTTCTGTACCGGCTTTTTGCGCGAGGAGGGATCGTGTTACTTGGTAAATTCTGGAGAATAGGAGGTTGGTGATTGGAGGGCATTGTTAGGTGTGCGTGTAAGTAACCCCGAGTCCTTCACTGCCACTGGACTCGGCGCCTTTGTGGAGAAAGAGAAGAAGAAAAGACGAGGGAGCGCGTTTCGTTGAGACGGTTCGGCGAGTGCGCGCAAGGCCCGCGACGTAACGAGTTCCAATGAGGCTCTGGGCCCTGGGTTCACTGGTTTACGTCCACGAGTCCTCCGTCCCATCCCTTCTCCCTGCGTGACAAAATTTGGAGAAGAAGGCTTTGGGATGGGGTCGGGAATGAGTGGATTTCGTGGGTGCTAACTTAGCCACCTTGGAGGGTTTCCAAATCTAATTAGCAATTGTTAGGAACGGCTCCAAGAAAATCCACATTCTCTCCTCCTTTCTTTTTCGGTATTCAGAATGGCCTAGCATGTCCGGGTTCTTCGTTGAAGACCACTTCCATGGTGGTTGGGATTCTGGACCCGGCATCTAGACTGCCCGAGATGAGTATCAAGCGTCGAAAGGAGCGAAAACTAGGCCCGAGGTAGTTTCGAGATTTGGGAAAACGCAGTAGGGCTAAAAAGCATATCGTTCTTTTGCTGTTTTTCTGACACATGGCAGACGGGCAGGGGAAGATATTGAATGCCACCCTCAATCGGAAAACTGTATTCGAGGGGCAGGTGTGACTGTGCCGGATCCGATTAAACCTTTGTCAACGTTCCGAACTATGTGACCGTGCTCGATGCCGTTGGTTGTAAGCAGCCTGCCGTCCAGTTGCCGATAATGGGAACCGGAAAGATATGACGAGTTCCATCCAAGCTGTCTCCTGCTTGGCATAGCTGCGACTCCCGGAGGTGAACTCTATAACACTACCCATCCAAGGTATTCAAGCAGGATACTGTCAATCCGATAATGCCAAGCCCCTTCTTCCGATGTCGAGATGATGCGATTCCCCGCTTCAGA